GTTTCCCAAAGACCCCCCAGCTTTTCGTTGACGAAGGCGAACGAATACTAGAAAAGGCTTGGCTGGTGTCTCCTCGCTGAGATGTTGTCTTTTGTACCACCCGGTTGCGCGGCAAAGGGCCGCCATGTTAGATTTTATGTGATGGAAGCGAAATAAAGAAGTATTTTGAAGATGATGCCCCCCACCCTCATTTTACCAGCAGTCCTGGGGCCTGACACACACACACACACACACACACACATATATATATATATATATATATATATATATATATATATATATATATATATATATACTATATATACCTACTACTAGATTGAGAATATTTTATTGTTTACTATCTCGAGTTCCACGAGATAATTTCTACCCATTAGTTAATAAAATGCCTTGCAAAACTCTAAATAGCTTTCTAATGGAAAGTTCACCTTTTTGTATTTGTGGTAAAAACACCTATGAGGAAGAGGAAGAAACAACTTATCAACAGGAACAACATCTAAATTTTAGGTTGGAAATTCATATGAAATACACGGGTTTTCTCATGCAGCTATAAACATTTTAATGACATTCAAAGCATTGTGTTTAAGTTAATTATATGTCTCTACGTGAATGGTTTCAAAAACCAAGTGCAAAACAAATTAAACTCTGAATAAGTAATGCAATTGCATTTAATCTTGATAGAACTAGATTTCGACAGTTTGTGTGAAAAAAAGTAAGCACGTATTCCAGTTATTTAATAATGCATGGATAAGTGAAACTTTTTGATCACAAATTAATATTAATGAGTAAAATTATATTAAAAAATTAGATTATAATTTTTTAATAATAAATGCAATACTTTTTTTAATTGCCTTTACATGAAGTGCGCATAACATGTTGATCTACTTTAAATATTATTTTGAGATATGTTCTTCGAAGTATGTGTATGGAATAGGGTTCCACGAAAACACTTTCTAGTCCTAGGCGTTCCAAGAGGTGAAAAAGTTTGGGATCCACAGGTCTAGATCTCATCACATACATGCGAGACGTTATATTAATTACGCTTCTTTATATTGAGGTCACACTGAAACAATACATTTGGCTATTGGTAGTGAACGTAATTTAGAAATTCCATCAGATGAGACGTCTGAACTTTAACCTTACATTCCTTACTTACCAAACCACGTGAGGTCATTAAATCGCAGCTCAATTTGTAATGGCCTCTTTCCTGGGGACGCTTCCTCGTCATCTAATTGACCTAAATCTGTAGGAGGTAAAAATGGATGTGAGTGTGTGACCCAGACTAACCATGATAAATCTAATTTATTATTATCAAAGATAATATTGCAAGACAAGCAAACTATAAATGCAAACTTAAGAGTGATATAAAGAGAGCTCAAAACCTATGTTGTGATTCTCAAAGTTTCAATATTTACACCCCAAAATTCAATTATAATTCTAATTGCGCCCCCTCCTTCCATATAATAACGAAGTATTTAACTCAATCTTACACTATGACACGAAAGCTATAATAACACTTCCACCTCAAAAGTGCCATCGGCGTACATGAACGTCTCAATCAGCAAAGCGTTAATTGACTCGTACTATATATACAACTTTCTGAAGTACGATCTTTTCTCTGCACTATTATCCATAAAATTATTCCGAAAACTTTCGAATGCAATAATGAAATGCCACCAATAATTTAGAATGCTGAGGATTTATTATAATTCCTTTTCTCCCCCCCAATTTATCACATACGCGTGCCTACGTGGAAAATGGGGACGTTGGAGAAAAATAGCGTAACTGTAATTCAGCAATTAAGGGAATAGTTATAAAGGGTGTTTTTTTAGAGGTATACAACTTTAAATTGCAATAAAACAACGATGTATTAATCAAATGACATGAATTTTTTTTATTCGAAAGATAATCTTGTAGCATTACATTTTAAATATGATCAAGCAAGGCGTAAATTCGTCGAATGGGCCCAAAACGAGATTGCTGTCGTTCCCAATTTTCAAAAGCGAATTTTGTTAAGCGATGAAGCGCACTTCTAGTTGAAAGGCTACGTAAACAAACAAAACTGCCGCATTTGGAGTGAAGCTAATCCACAAGTGTATGTCGAAACACCATTACATCCAGAAAAACTGACTGTTTGGTGCGCTTTATGGGCTGGTGGAATCATTGGTCCGTACTTCTTCAAAAACGATGAAGGCCACAACGTTACAGTCAATAGTGATCGGTATAGAGCCATGATTACTAACTTTTTCATTCCTGAATTGAACAATCATGATGTCCAGAAGCTGTGGTTCCAACAAGACGGCGCAACATGTCACACAGCTCGTGCCACAATCGATTTATTGAAAGACACGTTTGGTGACCGCCTAATTTCACGTTTTAGACCTGTGAATTGGCCTCCAAGATCTTGTGATTTAACACCGCTAGACTATTTTTTGTGGGGCTATGTAAAGTCATTTGTCTATGCGGATAAGCCACAAACGCTTGACCATTTGGAAGACACCATTCGCCGTGTTAATGCCGATATACGGCCACAAATGTTGGAAAAAGTCATCGAAAATTGGACGTCCAGATTGGACTACATCCGAGCCAGCCGTGGCAGTCATATGCCAGAAATCATATTTAAAATGTAACGCCATAAGATTATCTTTCAAATAAAAAGAAATTCATGTCAATCGAATAATACATCGTTGTTTTATTGCAATTTAAAGTTTTATACATCTAAAAAAACACCCTTTATAAACCTTACAAATTATCAAAATAAGTGTTATTTTATGTATATAATTTTATATATGATAAGCCAATGGGGTCATCGGTAACTATTAATGTTTTTCTTAAGAAGACTGGGTACCCCCTAAAAATCACAAATCTGTCGTTTTTTTTATTTCCATTTAAACTTATTATTTGCATTATTATATTTCGATTCATATATCACTTGTGCATGTCGGAAAGTTAGAAGTTGAATAAAACTTCATTTGAAAACAAATTCGGCAATTCCGCCACACCCCCTTTTTAAGAAAGAAAGCTAAAAAATGCGTTATGATAAAAAAATCTATTTTATAAATAGAAATAATAACTATAAAAAAGAATGTGTAGTATTAAAAGTAGAATATTTCCTAAGCAATCCAATAATGTAATTTTTTCTCCCTCGTGAAATGTGTGCATGTAAAATTTTTAAATTAAGGCATTTTATATTAATAATTTTATATAATTTCAGTTCTTATTCCTCATATATTTTTCTTACAAATGTAATACTTTAATATTATAAGAAGAAAAACAGCTAAAATTTCTGTCATGACAGTAAAAAATTTTTTTAACGTTTTTCTTGAATTTTCTTGTGCAATTAGTACTCTCTAAAAGTTGATCATTTATAAAAATGTGTGGGTTGAAAGAATATGAAAATGCAATTGTTTTAAAGAAAAACGTATAACTAATATCTTAAAGTGGTATTTTAAGTTTAATTAAGCTTATAATAATTATTTTTTTCAGAATTATAAACTTTAAACTGTTTTTTTTCAGTTTGTGTTTTTCGAAACCTTAGTGCATTCAAAATGCTACTCCTTCGACAATTATTTACCAATCACTTCCATTTTTTTCTTGCGTGTTAAAAATAAAGCATGTAATAAAATTAGGGATCGGTTTTGCTATAAACTGAATACTTTTTTTAAAAAAAAATAAAATGTAAGACATGTTGGCTTTTTCGTTGATTTTTAGCCTGTATATCAACATTTTATTTTTTTTTCTCGAAAACGAATGAAGTTATTTTAAAATCGATCCCTAAAGTTGTTTCGAACATCCATAAGAATATTATAAAAAAATTTCATGTCAAAATTTAATTTTTACAAAAGGAGTAGGATTTTAAAATTTTCCCAATTTTCTTCAAAAAATTTTAATTTTTAAAATTGTGTGAAAAATATATGAAAATTTTCATCTGGTAACATTTTCTTGAATAGAAACATTGTATAAAATGTTAAAATATAATTTTTAAATACGTAAATAAAGAAATTTGCTCAAAGGGTAAAAAGTCCCCTTAATTTAGTATTGTTAAATTAAATACAAAATACATTGTGCAGTAGTGATACATTGTGCAGTAGTGGTACATTGTGCAGTAGTGGTACATTGTGCAGTAGTGGTACATTTGTAAGCGTATTATATCAGTGAGTATTTTATTTTTTATTATGCCAGAATGTATTTTGTTTGCTTATTTTCAATAAATTAATAAATTTTAAAATAATCTTTTGTTTTCGACTTTTTAATATGCTCGCGCCCCCCTTGTAGAGTTACCACGCCCTCCTAGGGAGGCGCGCCTCACAGTTTGAGAAACGCTGGCCTATGTGAATAAGCGTACGAAGTCCGAATAGCTTAACGTTTATCAATGTTATCTTAATAATCCTCCCTAATTTATTCCAATAGTTAAAATCCGTCCTATAGTAGCGCTGCTTAAATCCGGTTCTTACCGTATCAGCACTGCTTTCATCGACTCCGCTCCCTTTTCCTTCTAATCCACGATGATTAAACTTTAACTATATATACAATAGCTAATCGGCATATCAGGGTTTCTTCTTGAGATGAATGGCTGTGAAATAACGAGATTGCTGGACCAAAGATTCCCCGAGAGGATTATCAGTAGAGAGTCTAGCAAAGTCCCGGCACAAATTTAATATACGACCCTCACCATTATTCTGCAAGATGTCCTGGGTGTTACTGGAAATTGTAACCTATAACTCGACTTGTATGTCGTTGCTGAATGTTAGCTATTTTATTACAGCCACTTATTGTTCATTGCATTCGCGTCCCATAAAGTCCAGTGCTCATGTTAGAACTTTTCTATTATTGTTGTTGAATAGTTGTTGATTTTTTATAATTGAAACCTGCTTAATTTTTCTAAAAATGCATTTAGTAATGATGCATTTGACGTATTTGCATTGTTTAAAAATGCGCATTTGTTTTCAAATATCAGTTAAAAATAATTTTGAAAAATGTTTCAAAACTGAATAAAAAACACTTGCCGTGGCCAGAATTCAAACCTAGGTTATTGCGGCCACAACGCAATGTACTAACCACTATGCAATCACGGCTTCGATTGGAGTTGTCTTTAAAAGCATTTGATTCCTTCTAGGAAACAAAATTTGCTCTATTTGCAGACTACTTCGAAGGAATGTTTACTCAAGCATATCATTCCTAAAAAACCCAAAAATTTCTTAAAGATGTCTTTCTTCTTAACTTTTGGTGGATATTTCCAATTGTGCAAAGAACTATTGAAGAAAATAGAAAGTCATCTAACTCTTGATTTTGGGGTCCTGGTGTATTACGTTTTAATCGACTTTGTAACCAATTATAATTTCAATCCTGGTTCATAGCAATGCTTGGAGATTAGTAAGCAATTTTGATACGTTCAAAATACTTATATCACCCTCCTGTTCATTAGTGTTTTGTAGTAATGTCTAGTCATTATTTCTCTGTTCCTGCGCTTAATCTTCCACTTTGAAATATATACAGATGTATCTCTATATAACGAATTCGCTAAATCCCGAAAAAAAGTTCGTTATATGGAAAATTCGTTATATAAATGTTCATCTTTCAATATAAAGAGTGTTTTTTTTCCAGGTATAGAAGTTTAAGCTGACATTACTGACATTACTAGTGATTTATTCTCAGTTTGGTTTGGCAATTCATCAAAACGATCATCAAGCAAGGCATAGATTCGTCGAATGGGCCGAAAACGAGATTACCGTTGTTCCCGATTTTCATAAGCGAATTTTGATTAGCGATGAAGCGCACTTCTGGTTGAATGGCTCCGTCAACAAACAAAACTGCCGCATTTGGAGTGAAGCTAATCCACAAGTGTGTGTCGAAACACCGTTACATCCAGAAAAACTGACTGTTTGGTGCGCTTTATAGGCTGGTGGAATCCTTCTTCAAAAACGATGAAGGCCACGAAGTTACAGTCAATGGTGATCGGTATAGAGCCATGATTACTAACTTTTTCTTTCCTGAATTGAATAATCTTGATGTCCAGGAGCTGTGGTTCCAACAAGACGGCACAACATGTCACACAGCTCGCGCCACAATCGATTTATTGAAAGACACCTTTGATGACAGCCTAATTTCACGTTTTGGACCTGTGAATTGGCCTCCAAGATCTTGTGATTTAACACCGCTAGACTATTTTCTGTGGGACTATGTAAAGTCATTGGTCTATGCGGATAAGCCACAAACGCTTGATCATTTGGAAGACAACATTCGCCGTGTTATTGCCGATATACGGCCACAAATGTTGGAAAAAGTCATCGAAAATTGGACGTCCAGATTGGACTACATCCGAGCCAGCCGTGGCAGTCATATGCCAGAAATCATATTTAAAATGTAATGCACAAAAGATTATCTTTCGAATAAAAAAAAATCCATGTCAATCGAATAATACATCGTTGTTTTATTGCAATTTAAAGTTCTATACCTCTAAAAAAAACACCCTTTATTTTATAAACCACATCGAACAATTTTTTTAAAAATTCTTAAACGCTATATATTTGAAAAAAGTAATTATTCACATCTATCTTTTCAAATTGATTTTATAGATCTTACCCATCAAAAAATAAGAGAGAAAGAAAAACTGCAGGGAAAACATTCACATATTCTTATTTGAAGAAACAACAATACACACCTAATTCTCTTAATTACACAGATGGCGAATCGCATGCAGTGAACTGACCCCCAGATTCTGGCAATGTTATCAGTAAATGTTTCCAGCCAAAATCTTCAAGTCCGAAAATTGTAGGATCGAGTTGACTCGGTCCCTTTTTTTTCACCAGATGTGGTATGCATCAAACATAGATTAGACTTACCTGTTAATAATTGTCGTCTCCTGCTTTCACACACCAAGATTGGAAGGCTTGACTCGTTGAGTTGGTTTGTTGTCGTCCCCTGCTTTTCTCACCAAGATTAGAATGAGGTGGCTTGTTGTCATCCCCTGCTTTTCTTACCTAGATACCTAAATTTTATTTGTCTCTCTGGGGTCAAATGAATGCGCAATACATTACATCCATCACGCAATTACCAACCTTGTAAATAACTACACCGTTTAAGTAAAGGTCTTTTTCCAATTCCTATCATTTTTTTTAAAGGGTCACGTTGCTCAACTATTTTTTTCGACCAGCTGTACGAGCTGGTATGTTACAACCTAATTTGAGAAAATAATCCAAATTCTATCGGAGCATAAGGCGTTGGCAAAAATTTCCAGATTTACTGTACAAAACTGAACAGAATATCCTACATGAAGATATTAACTGTAACTGTAGAATGATAATTAAATGTGGCGAAAAGTTTTAAAAAGTAGCAAATTTGGCGAATAATCGCACTATCTGGCTTGCGTTAGAACTTTGAAAAATCCCGTTTAATTTCGATGTTTTCGCATAGATTAACATTTCACCGGAAGTAGTTTTCGGTTCCACTTAATTTCGTTGTTTACAAAGTAAAACTTGTCTATCGTAATTCTTAAAATTATCTAATTTATCTTAAGGTAAACATATATCTGTATCATTTCTCGTTTTAATAATTATGCAACATAAATAAGTCGAAATATTGAAATGTTTCGCATGTTTCTTAATTATTTTCGATGCATTAATAACATACATGGAATTCGATTTTCGTGTTGAGGATTTGCTCTTTAAGGGATTAACGGTTGATAGTGGTATTGGTAAGTACTTTTTTATTACCTTTTCGAAATTAGACCCATTTTATACTAGTGATTAAAAAGTAAATTAATCACACTTCTATTTAAATGCGTTTCGTATATGTGCCTTTTTTAGTAAACATTCTCCTCATTGGAATTAAAATTGTGTGTTATCCAATAAAAAATATAATTGTTAAAGGTTTTATTTTTTGAATTAACAATGATAATAAAATGTATGGGAAATATAATGTTTCTGATTATGTTTTTATATAGTTATAAATACTAGAAACTTCTAAGATCAGAGAAGAATTAATATTTAAATTTATTTTAATGAATAAAAAAGAAAAGTATGTGGGTGAAGGAAACAGTTTTGACAGGGATGGTGGGGACAGTGAATATGGTTGGGAATGTTTTGTTAGATTGTTTCAGATTGAAAAAATAAATGATTTATCCAAACTTGTTGACAACAAACTCTTGTTTATTAAGACTGGCAAAGCAGTTAAAAATTTATTCAGCATTAAAATGGAATTTTTTATTTTTCAATGCTTAATTTGTCCTAATGCTTGCAATAATACCTTGATATAATGCATTTCTGAATTTTCCCCTCAGATTTGATATATATTTTTAAAAAATTAGTTGTTGTTATTGTTACTAATGCCACCTGATCGGCAAAGGCCAGATCAAGGCCCATGAAATTCATCATCGCAAAGGGCCAAGTGACACCTGTCGTTAGCTGTAGCTTTGAGCACCATACAGATGATAGAACGATTTAACTCAGTTTCACCCCAATTTTGAGGGAGAACATCCCAGGGGTGATCAGGGGTCTCCCACCCCTCTTCCCCTTCCACCAACCTCACGAGAGGACTTGCAGCTCGACAGCTATTTAAAATACCCTCATGCTGCGAAGGCACTATGCATTTTCAAACATCCATGTCTTCTCCAGGATTCGAACCCAGGCCCATTGGAACAGCAGTCAGCGTAGCTAACCACTAAACTGGATGGGCGACATTTAGTAGTGCTAGTAGTCCTATAGAAGTTTTCAATGTGCGTTCTCTAAATTTTGGGCTAACAATAGCAATTTAAGCTAAATGTAATTTTCAATTTATTTTTTAAAGAGTTAGTGTATTTTGCTACTTTGCCTGAAATTGTTTTTGAATGTATTTAATTTTTTTTTTACTTCACTTCATAATATCCATCATTCATAAACCATAACTTACCCTTAGATTCCATGAGAAATATTTAAAGCAAATTTTTAAACTAATCAAAATTGTCATTCATTTAAGTTTGAAAAGTAAATATATACTTTTTTGCTTAAAATCTAATGAATTACAGTTAGGAAAACATTTTTTATTTCAATGAAGAATGAAGTTAAGGCTTGCTCTTAATGTTTTAGTGTTTATGTAAAAATAATTTTATAATTGCTTTTAAACATATTAGCATTAAAATACTAAAGTGTTTTTGAAATACTACACCACTTGAAAGTTAAACAAATACTTTTGTTCAAATATATATAATTTTGTTGACACTTTTTTTTTATGCAAGAATTCGAATAAAATTTAATCATTTTGCTTTATCTGTATTGTTGAAAAGTTATACAGTCTGTATAATTTAGTCATACAAGTGTTGTAAACATCTGAAATCAACCACACATATATTTAAGTAAAAGTATTCATGTTGAATATTTCACAGAAAAAATTCAGTTCACTCCGAGGAGAGCCCACACCCTTGGCGCGAATTACTTCTGTTGGCGATAATTGCCCCATCTTGGTAACCTTACTTTTGAACACTACATACGACAACCCTAACTATTTCTAGCATTTTCGTATTTTGTCAGCGCACATTTCGAATTTCATTTTGTTATTGGTCTCCGGGCTGGCTGCGTGTGTGAGGGAATATACTTTAGAATTTTTTACTTTGTTGAATGCGAGAGGTAAGAAAGAATTGATTGAATGGTGTAGGAAGGAAGGATTGATTGCTTAGAGTTATGAATTTAAATGTAATAATCAATGATGTAACATGGTCGGCAATAAAAAAATCATCCAGAATGTATGTTCGACCATTACTCGCAGAATAAATATGGCATTTTTGCTCACATGATCACTTAGCGACAGGCTTTCTTAAAATCTGTTATTTCGGAAAAGATCGGCATTAAAAGTAGTGCTGTTTTTATATTCTTTATCTTAAATGTTTAATTTCTGTATTGATATATTTTCATTATGCATCCACCTTATCCCGCTATAATTGTCAGTTTCGCTTGGCGCCATCTTATTAATCGCCAAAATGATTTTACCAAAAATTCTTATTAATAAAATGTTGATGAGTTTAAACAGATTTTTAAAATCTTAAAATTAATTTTTCTTTAAGATAGTTGCATTTTTATATTAATAAGTAAATTTTTATCTCTCT